CGTTCGGACTAACCGTTAGGAATTCCTAAATAGAGTCAATTTGTGTAGTTTTCTTGATTTTTCTGCAGATATCGGTAAAATGTAGGTAAGGCTTTGGCGAAATTCGAAGGGGCAACTAATATTCTTCAACCTGGTATTTTTTTAGATTTTATTTTTAATTTTTTTCGTCTGTTTTTTTCGAGTTTAAAAAATGTGAGCTGGCTGGAGCCTTCATCCCTTGTCTATTTCTTACACTAGATACCAGCCGATACCCCCCCCCCCGCTCATAGAGACTGCCTATTACAGTTGATTATAGTTCCTGGGCTCCCTGTGGTAATAGTGTTGTCGTCACTGCTGAGTATTATAGAAGACTAGGTGTTATATTTCAAAGCTCATGATGTCACTGCAACATATATTGGCAGAAATTAAGCCAAAGACATCGGAAACGCAAAGCTCCAAGCGCATTCTCCCTCCCAGAGTTCCTTGCGGCTAGAACACTGATATATTCGTAGAAATAGAACTCTGCTCGGGAGATTGGCATCGACCAATCAACGACGAGCATAAGATCTCGTGGTGGCAGAGATATATTCGTAGAAATAGAACTCTGCTCGGGAGATTGCTCCAAGCGCTTACTGGCAGTCATTGTAACAAAGCTTTCTATTGGTCGGTAAACTTTCTATCGCGCAACCACTTGACATACACGGTTATGAATAGAATTACCGCACGGTGTTGTAGAGGGAGGAATGTCCGAACGGAGCAACACCGTGCAGGCGGACGATGATACTTTACTAAATCCTTAGTATAATTCTATAAGTTTAATGGGGCGTTATTTCGTCATTTAATTCCTTATTGCAGCAAAAACTCTCTGTTAATTTATTGTATGTATTTTTTTTCTTTACTTGGATAAGACGGAACCATGGTCTTAGCCTCGGCTCTTAGCATAGCTCTGTCCACCCATGGCCTATAGTGTCAGATTTTTGGGCTGTAATTTAAGTGAGCATCCCGGATCTGTTATCACACTTTAATTGGAAGTGCAGAGTCCTAATACCAAGAAATGTCGAACAATTTGTTTATTGCTAAGTCACACAATTCTGTTTGTTATGTATGTGCCTTGACCTCAAGCACTACTCGTTCAATAACTGCACTTACTAATCAACCAATGGTAAAGCTGCGTTTCAATAATAGGCGGCGCTCGGTCTTCTAATTGGGTGATATTAATGCATGGTAACTGGGTAACCTGGCGATATGAGTTTCAATATTCGGGGAAAACACAACAATCTACAGTAATCACAAATCATATTACCAATGTCGATTTAATTAACACCGTGAAAATGATTGTAAACAATTAGGTATTATTACTTATTATTATTTTATTTGACAGAAAAGCAAGACTAATTAATATTAAATTTCGTCAGAACTTTCAACGTTTAATTAACGTTTGTGGTTTCTATGTTAATTGCATGAATGAAGACATTACAATTATTAAACAGTGCTGGCATATTGGTTGGCATCTCTTAGTTCGTCTATTCTGGATAGCGATGAGAGACTGTAATGGCAAGCTACTGAAGTTACTAGCATTAATGGGGGCAGTTAGAATTAGATAAGTTTGGACCGTTTACAGCAAAAAACAGGCTGTTTCTCTGTACACCGCAAGCTCGTCCTTTGGGAGTTGCCGGAATCGGTGGCGCTGCAAATTATTAGTATTACAATAAAAATCAAATTTAGCTACAGGATACTTTTCTTCTTTCATTTCAATTTTCCTATCCACCGTAAGACAAACAATATGTCGTCTGATGATTGTCATGTTTCAAGCCGCTAGCCGCGTTCAATTCATCGATCCCTACATCAGCCATATATCGCGTGATATACCGCCCTCCCGTATATATTATATTATATTATATTATATTATATTATATTATATTATATTATATTATATTATATTATATTATATTATATTATATTATATTATATTATATTATATTATATTATATTATATTATATTATATTATATTATTTCTGGTTTATTTTTTTTATAGCGGAACCTTACCTTCTTCACATGTGTGAAATGCTTCAACAACTTCATATTGGACGAACGCTGCCTTAAATACTTGCAAACAGTGAACCATTCCCTCCAAAGGATCAATGATGTGTCCAAAAGAACCGACTCTGAGAAATTCTACATTCGACAGTTGACGAAATGGCGGTGTTATGTATTTGATCACCAGTTTCCCATTTCGATAAATACGTATTTCCCCTCTCCGGTGATCATAGCATGCACCCAGATATTGCCATTCATTTGCTATGATGATATCTTCAGCAATTACTTCAAACATAACACCGTCTAGTTTGATTTTCAATAAAAGGTCGCCCCCAGAGTACCAAAGCTGCATGACCACGTCATCGTTAGTGTGAAGGACTGCGATCATTCCATGATTCTCAATAGATAATAGATACACTGTCACCAAGAGAGTCATCGAACGTTGATTGTTCATGACACCATTAATTGGTATTTCGATGTACGAGTTCCAATCAGCCTTGAGGTAAAATGCACCATCCTGCACTAACGTTGCTGGTTTCACCAAACTTACATCACCAAATATTGCATTGTTACCATTTCCAGAAAGATCTAATCCCTTCGATTTTTCATTAAACAACCATATTCCTATAGGTTCAGTTTTTTCAACTGTTGAACAAATATTTGTTGCATATTAAACATAGCTTCTAGGTGTTGCATCAGTTCGAATAAACATAATTTTCCATTGCCTACAGAAATTGATCATCGTTGAAACATGCAGCCAAATTATAGAAATACCTGGTTTAGTTGGTATGTGTTGTGCCAAGAATTAAGTTTTGAAATCTAACCTTTTGGACAGAACTCCTCAGGTGCACCAGTGTCGCAATACTTATTACCGTTATATGTTTTACAATATGGTTGTTCAATCGAATTTTCACCTCTACAGTAAGCATCCGCATCATCAGACACTTCGTTACTCGTAACGTGAGTTTGGAGTCTACATGACTCTCCACTTAATGTTGTTTTGACGTGTCCTCTGTAGTCTAAGCCTTGAATATCGTGGTAGCATTCGTCGTTGATTTCTTTTGTGAATAGAATTAACAGAGACAGTGTAAGTCCATAATCAGAATGTTATTATACACTAATGGAATACAAAAATGCCAACAATGTTATTTTATTGTATCGTTTTAAAGACATGCGATATTGTATTGATTTGTATTAGTGACAGAAAACAGTTGAGTACTGTTTCCTTTGAATAAAGTATACCAGGTTTATGTGGTACTGACATATTGACTGGTAGTCGTATGTAATATCAATATACTTTGATAACGGCACTTACCATGTCTACATGCAAAGGAGGCTCTTTGTGAACAATTCACTTCTTTCCATTTATAGCCACTTTCAAGTCTTAGAGAAAATATGAAATTAAGTCAATTGTTCAAAGTTATATTGAATTATACATTTATATTTAACACTAACTCGAACAAACTCAATTAATGCAGGTATTAATTAATTAATTAATTTAAAAAAAACTCAATGAGAGTTATGCAGATGCCTACGTCTGACAATTAATTACCACGTTATACCATAGTTCTTACAACGGAATGATACTAAATACATCCCTTAAATCAATGTCCTGGAGGATTATTTAGTATAGTACATTAATCCTTTGTTTGAATATTTGGAAATCCCTTAACCCAGTACGAGATATTCCCGTATTTTAGTAGTCATATGTAAGAACAATGCTCATATTGTGTGGACTGGTCATGTATATAGAAGTCATACCAGGTTGTGTTGGATATGATGAATGTGAGTTTAATGGTGGAGCAATACTGCGAAATATTGTTACTAAATGCTGAATGAGTGCTTATAAACATGACTATTTCAACTTCCTTGCGGAGTATTGATGTTAATGACTATTGTTCTACAACAGAGGAAAGAAATTCAACTATGTTCCAATGCAGGTACTTCACAAAAGACGCGTGTAATATACATGCCAATGCTGTTTTATTACAGGGGCGGTGGTCGTCGCGCAGCGCGTGTTTGAATTTCATGGAATCATATATTACACGCGTTGTATACATGTTATGGGGCGCGATGACCACAGACCCGTTCCTTTAATCACTGCGTCTCATGTAATGCTTTGTACTTTCACGCACTTCATAGGAATCGCTGGGCAAAGTACCGACCACAGTTGACGCAACAAACATTGTAGTACTCTTAGTGTGTGTGCATGAGAAACCAATGTGATAGTCTTTCCTATGTTGTATTACAACATTACTCCCGTATGTACACATATAGTCACGTGGTACTGACTGTAACATTGGGCAAAACTCCTCAGTAGAATCTTCACTGTATTTCTGGTGACCAGGTGCCCAATAGGTTGATTCGTTTGCAGTGTCGTATACCCATACACTATCTGACAAGAAAGGCAGAAAAGAGTGTAATTATTCGACTTGTTCTTTCATGCTGAGATTAGTGTTATATATGTTTTACTTTGAGCTTTCGTTTTGCATTGAAGTATGTTTATCGATGGACATTACTGATAAAAAAATGTTTAATATGTAACGTGTTCATGAGCCTAAGTTCAGTTAATAGTTAATGAAATTTGAGTTACTAAATTGAACGATAAAAAACAATTTATGTTGTCTTTAACTTTTGGTTAATTATTAATTAAAGTTCCACTTACGAAATGTATATTGCCCGTAATTCGAAGTTCTGTTAACTGTTAATTGAATATAGATGTTATAGGGAATCCGATTTTGTTGGATGGAGATTGTGTGGTCAGGGACAACTGGGGATTTTAATACGGCCGCTTCGAATTCGTTGAGCCTGCTCTCTGGGAAATGTTTCACAAACTATTTTTGCTTCTGAATAATGCATGAAAATTTTAAATAACCATTCCACATGTTTCCGGATTTTGCCGAGAATAATTATTGTATTCTGCCTTTAGTTTTCAGTATTTTTTTTTTATGATTTATATGGAATTTGTATACAGCCTAATTTGTCATTTTCATAAACTCGCAATGTGAACGTCGGAGAAACCACATATGACTATTTCTGCTGTATTTCTCCCTCCATTCATATCGCGGTATTTTAAATTTGACAGGAAAGTACTCTAGGTAGAATTCATTATTTGTTTATTTATATATATACTACCTGTACAATTTATACATTTAATGTTGTTTTAACACTTTTTTTGGTGAAATTAATTTCATTCATTCATTCATTCATTAACCCTGAGGTTAACGTCGCCAACCCAGCTGCTATTCCTTACAGCCGATTAATTAAATATATATGACGTGTTAAGTACTTCGTGTGATTGGCTACATGCGAGTGAAATGTGTGGAGGCCACGCCTCGAGCACTTAAACTTCCATGTGATAAGTTACAGTTTTTAAAAGTAAAAAAAGCTAGACTTGATCTGTCGTGGGAGTGGGAGTCTTGGGGTCAAGGAGATTCTTGGGGAGTTTTCGGCAGGCGAGCCAGCCTTGGCAGGCTTTCCAAAGGGCGACTGAGACGAGAAGTTGACACGATTCCATCTGTGTGTGTGTCTTTGCTTGGTCGAAAGGGTTGTGAACGTAACGATCCTGTGTACCTGGGATAAGACGATAATTAAGCCATGTATTTCTTAGCGACTCTGTGCGAGCTGCTTTTGGCTAGTGAAAACAGCTCAACAGCACAAACTCAACTATTTGACAATCCTGAACAATGAAATTTAGATGTGTTGTAGGGGCAATCTTGTTATACCTATAGGAGAATCTAATAAGCCCAAAATACAGTATTGCCGAGTGTGTTTGCGTTTGACCTGTACCAAAGTATGTGAAATTGTGGATGCATTGTTGCAATGTGTTGTTTTAGCTTGATTAATTTATAAGCAATATATCAAATATAGAAATGTTGTTAGCAAAACATCGATGTAAATTGTGAAATTGTTCAGATTATTCTCGCGATGACAAATAAAATGGAGGGGTCACCACGGGGATTCTAGGCAACCACACACGCTAAAATCGCAAAAGCTCACGGGTTATTTGTGAACAACATACGCTACGGCCGTCTGCCATATGCACAAGTGGTGACCCCCTCTCCCACCTACTTATACTGACAAAAGTACGCCTCACAGTATGTGACTTCGCGGGGGTACGCTGTGCACTCATTGGTGGGAGTGGTTTCATGTTTCAACATTTAACCAATAGAACCAATAGATAATTTCGTCACTAACGTATGATATTATTTTCTACACTTCTGACTAATTAGCATAAAATTAGCATAAATTCCCACGCTTACATTGTATTTATCGGCGTCTTTGTGGTCTGGACGAACTTTTCATAACAGACGTGCTGCGAAATTGGTAAATTGGAAGCAATTTCAAAATTTCATTTTCGGGTTGAACACTTTGCGTTCATTATATCATAATTCACCGTTATATTTTTTCACTTTTTATAAGTCTATTGTTGTAAAAGTTAAAATATTTGTTTTGTTGTAATACATAAAGCAGCAAACTATTGGTATTTTAGAAAACCTGTGCATTGTTTTCAACATTTGGAATTTGGCACTTTGCCCCAATCTCAAGTTCGTTAACACATTATAATAAATAAATGGCCACCATATGCCTCGGATTTGGTAACAATCAGACAAATGTGTACCAATTTGCTAGTAACTTTAGAAGTAAATGATTTTTTTAGACAAGATTTTCGTTCTAAGTTCTAGTGTAACGACTGGAAAAAATATGTCTTAATGTTATTCTTGGTTTAAACATATTTCAATGCAAAACGGCCACTCTAATTGAGACGGGTGTAGCCCTGTTCGTCCGAAATCAATCAAGTCCTGAAAATGAATTTGTAGTAAATGACGCACACAACAACTTAACATAGTTATTATATATTGCGTATATTTTTGGAATATTCTTTAGGTTTTGGATCATGAAATACAACTAATTGACAATTGGTTTGCGATATTTATCTTTTCCCGCCTTAAAATCATTAAATGGTAACAGTGAGAAGGATGAAGTATGCTGCGCCTTACCGTGAATTGCATTGTACGTGGTGTACGTTTCTAAAAATGTCTGAACCTCCCACGTGTCAATGGTGGCCAGATCGGCACCAACACTAGCACAGAAATCTACAGCCTCGTTCCATGTTGCTTTTCGAGTGGGTACGTCATAGCAAGTATGTTCCATGTGATCAGGTTGTCTCACGTACAAATCTACACAAAAAATGAATACACACTAGTATTTGCGGTACACAGCGAGTGTAGTTAGCAAGAGGGGAATAGAGCTAGAAGCCCTTCATCTTCTGGGGTGAGAAACAGCGCAACCGACATGATGCAAATAACATGCAACCTTGAGTTGCAGATCACCCAGCTATTAACAAAGAATCTATTTGTCCTTTCGAGACCTGTTTGCCTCAGCCCGAAACCTCAAGGTCAAGAGGTACATCTCATGATTTCCGGATCCCTTCGCATGCACGACAATCGCACTGATTGTACTAGACATGTATGCATTCCCACCATTCCCATCATTCATGCTGTGTTAAAGAAAGTACTGGTAATACCAAATTTAATAGTGATATAAAGTAGTCACACCGAATTAGCCAGTGAGACCATGATATCTATTCATCCTGTCTTTGGAAGTAGCCTGGTCCGTATGCCTGTCACATATGAGGCAAGACCATGGCATATTGCAATTACATACCCGGAAGAGAGTATCTGACAATATTGCTAGGCTCTAGTGTGAAACCACCATTTGATTTTAAAAGTATAAATGAAGATGTTTCTATGATTGGTATGGCAGGTGAATCTATTCTATTTATCTATTCTATTCTATTTTAGTGATTCATGATAACAATTTCTCGTCCATCACAATTAAAAGATACAGGGATAGACTAGGGCTGGCAGTTCATGCTTACACCAGCATTGACCGATCTAAAAATATGCCATTGGAACATTTGATGCTCAAGACAGTTTTCCTGCTCCTAATTGCAGCCCTCTCATTTTCTCCCCACTGCAATCTGATGGGTTAATAATGGTGAATACGAGGATTAAACAATTGAAAAAGACGAGACTCTTTGCATCTCTCATTATTATACTCTCATTATCACTACAATAGTGAGGACCTGGGGGAATTACTGCATTGTCTAGTCAGAGCACTGCACTGTTATCACTCTAAAACATGTGCTATTAGGTGTCACTCTAAACATGGAGTATCAACATACAGTCGTCCCTGATGATGATTAACCGATGGATGAAGCACACAATTACTCAAGCGTATATTACCTTCAAAGATGAACTCCCACGATCCCATTATGCAACAGATTCGGGGATTGACTAATTTTCTGGCTTTTTAGATAGGGCGTTAATCGTGCACGTTTTAGCCACGGGATTTTGCCAGACACCAAAAAAGTCAGAGAACTACCTATTAGGCGATGTTTTCCGTTTAGAAAAGATTTCAGTACGAATTGTTTTATTTTTGAGAGTCTCTTTTATCCTTTGCGCTGGCCCATAATACCCTTTGTTATTCAGGGTGTTATTTCCCCATCATTATAATTACTATTCAAGTTAGTCAATCAATCAAATATTTATTTTGCCTAATAATGTACACATGTAATTCACAAAACAAATTAAAAGAATCAATTACAAATATGTAAAATAGTAACCAGAAATAGCCGTTAGAAATAGCCGTTGGCTAATCTAGCCTGATTCCTCAGAAACAAATGAATTTGGTACTTTGGAATGAGTAAAAAAAGTTTGAAATCTATCATGATAACTTTTTGATACATGCTGAAAGAGTTGTGATATAGAATTAGGAAAATGTCCATAAAGGCTACCAAAAACGAAATGAAGGTGAACCAGAAATAGTACGTACAATTTGTTTTTGAATAAAATTATTGGATGTAAATGAGTTTTATAGATATTTCTCCAGGTTTCCAACATATGTGAAATATGTGGCAAAATAAATATTTTATACAATTATACAATAATAATAAAGTTGACCTTGAAACATGTTTTCGTAATTTATATATGATACATGCTTTGACATTTATTTTGCTCATCACATGATCAATGTTTTTTCCAATTAATTCAAATTGTGGTCCAGCAGCACATCAACATATTTAGTACACTTTACCTCACTAATGATTTGGTTTCTAATTGTCAAACTCCCAAAAGTCGCGACTTTTGTATTCTTACCTCTGAATAGTATATATTCAGTTTTGTTAGTATTTATTGCCAGTTTATTACAGTCGCATCAGTCAACTATTTGAATTAACTTTTCATTAACATAATGTAGGTCAATACTGTTCCCAGATTGAAATGTATGAAATAAACTGGTGTCGTCTGCAAACTGACTGATATCAAAGTACGTAGATGCTAATGCAATATCATCAACATAAAGAAGAAACAAAGTCGGACTAAGTACAGACCCCTTCAAAACACCGCATATTATTGGAAGCGAGTCTGATGTTACATCATTCACACTTACATGTTGTTCCCTTTTTTGTAAATAACTGTCGATCAAGTCCAAAGGTAGGCCTCAAATACCATATACAGATAATTTTCTGAGTAAAATTGAGTGATTAACAGTGTCGAATGCCTTTCTAAGATCTAAGAAAAAATCCAAGAACTACATTCCCTTTATCAATTTCATCTAATGCCTTTTGTGCTAGGTCCATAACAGAGAGTTTAGTACTAATTTTTTTCTCTAAAGCCGTACTATTTGGAATACAATATATTTAATTTATTCAAATAAACAGTTAATTGTTTGTTGATTATTTTCTTGAGACAGGTCTATAATTACCAGGGTCAAAAGGAGTTCCCTTTTTGAAGATAGGGGTAACCTTTGCTATTTTAAGAGCATTTGGAAAGTGTTAGATAGTGTTGATAGATTTAGAAATTAGTTTTAGTGAACTCTACATTAATACATTACGTATATGTTTCGACCCGCTACATCGCTCACACTGATTACAATGAGACAATGATTGCGTTAAACACACATGTGAGTTTATTTAAATTTAGTTTGTTAAAAACCCGTGCTCCCATTTTTCTAATTTGGGGAATTTTCTTGACAGTCACTAACGGTCTGAATTTCCAGCAAACTGGGTAATGGGTATGCTTTGGGTATGCTTTGTAGTCTGTCCACTAAGTTTAATCCAATGATTTACATTGGTATGGTAAGTATGAATGAATGAACTATTAAAATACACAAATTCCTTGAAATTTTACATAGTGAAATCGTATCATCATCGGCCTGCCATCACTACATTTTTCAAACATTCCTCAGTAAAGTCAATAACAGAGATAGGGGACACATGAGTGATTCTCTGCGCATGTGCGCAGTCACAACATTGCTGCTTTGAATAATTAGCTTGGGATCTGATTTTTTATGAAATTTTATTTTGAGATCCTTTCATACAACCTGAATCAGTATATTTTCAATAGTTACACATACCTGAATTACGTGAGCAAAACTTGAACAATCCCGTACTGCCCAAGCCAGTTGAATATCCGACGTAATTAACCGGTAGTGGATACGGGTCAAACCATTCAAATATTAGGATACTATTACATAGTATTTTAAAATGTCCATCTTCGAGTGTTATTAAGACAGTATTCCAAACGTTCGCTTCAAAAATCTTAGGTAATCGATACATTTTCTCGATTGGACACTGAGCGCATCGCCGGATTCTAGTTAGGGTGTTGTTTTCGATGCCAATTTCTATCTCATACCTGTACTCTGAGTACCCAATGACCTCAGACAAAGCAATAAAGACATTACCCTGGGCCTTCACAAGAAATACTGTATAGTCCATGAACACCAATGGACGCGCTGCATCAAATCGGTAGTAGTAGGTTTCATTTGTTTCGGCGTGATGAAGAATACAGGCTAATACATAAAAAAAAACAAATAGTTAGTAAGCTTTTGAAATCAACATGATTGCAGATTAGCGAAAATTAATAATTGACAAATCGGTTGATATTAAACAAAGGTGAGAAATATAACATATAAGTTGTATTTTGTAGTCACTGATCACTAGTGTGCATATTGATGAGGTATAAGTGTGCTTAAATTGCTGGTTTAAATGTTAATGTTCTAATTAATCGTGTCAATAGTGTCTTACGTGTAAAAGTAGCATAAACTTCGACTTCACACAGTGTCAGTATTCCCAATGACTCTAGATATATACTGACTATATCCCCTATGTTGTCACACGTAAACACATGGCGTACTACGAGGCTTGTATCTTCCAATGCCTCGCCGCACTGTACATTCAAATCAAAGGAATCTTGAATTCCAACTGTAGCAATAGCACCGGATAATTCATCAGCTAAATTGTAGGTAATCAAATTAGTAAATTTAATGTTAGATCGTGTATTGTGGAATATGATGAACGTAATTTAAATTATTTCGAAATACTATATTGGCAGCGGACAGCCAAAATGAGAACATGGGAACACAGCCTTTTGCAGATTGGACTTTTATCTGTGGAGTGATCCGTTATAAATAGTAACGACAAGACTTCAACAACAGTTACACATGTATATGTAGCTCAATAATGGAATACGAACACCAGCATACACTAGTTTCACAGTGATTATATAGATTCACCATGAACGAATCGCTCACCTAAGAACGGTGTACATGATGTGTCACAGACATTGTTTATTTCTTACCCTAAAAGTCTTTTTTTGTAGAAAAAAACCACTCAACACTGAATATTTGAAACAAGGATAAAAGTTACTATAAATAACGCCTCGTTTCCCTCATAGGTTACCGGTTTCTTCCCGAAAATATTACTACTTCACACATAAAAAAATGACCTTTCGCCCCTAAAATAGCTTGTGTCGGTCCTTTATCTGATTTCTTTTTATAATAACTTACCACAGCAATCCTGCCGATTGTAAACTAATATTTTATTCACAATATAAAGTTCACGCAAGTCGACTTTCCACCATGGTCTGTTCTCATAGTCTGTTTGATAGCAAGATAAATCAAATAAGTTTGTAGATTTCCATCCATCAACGACCGAACTGGACAATCCATTGTATTCCGAACTTGTGCTTGTCGGTTTTCCAAATGCAACATTGCGCTCAGTTGTGCAACCTATATAATATAAATTATAAATAATTCAAATCCATTAACATAGCACAGGCACGGCTGTTAAATACTGCATAATAACACAAGGAAGGTACATTGCCTTGGACATAGTCATGGAATATATGTGAAGTAATATGTGTTTTCACATATTAAATTCGAGATTAGGTCAAACATATAATTCAGGTACATATTTTTTAAAAACTATAAAATATAGCATAGCTATCAAATGTTTGCATCTGTCACAACAGAAAAAAGGAATAAGAATTACGATTGAATATAATACTAATAAAATATCTAAATATAGTAGAAGATAATATTTCCTGCACATTGTTTGTGACGTAGGAGATTCGAGATTCATACACGCCATTTCAAACAAAGCGACGTGGTTTAACGCGGAAGCACCTATACTCAACCTATGAATTGCGTGTTAAATATGTTCGTAAATGTGCCTGTAACTTTAAATTAAGGTGATTCAAATGGTAGTGACAATTATGAAATAGTCACCAGTGATATCACTGTAGGCTAAATCACAAACATGGACATTAATGATGGTTAATGCACCTAAACCTAAGCTTAAACAATATGATGATAAGCTACCATTGACCAAAGACATCACTTAGTCTATACCCACACCACATTCGGATACTGAGTGGAACTATAATGTGAATCCATTTATTATAAATCAATAATCAATTAATTTTAACGTATAAATCATCATACATGTTCACTCTGTTAGTCTGGTTGGCATTTACCATATATTCAATATTCAGTCTTGTTGGTGGAATCGAACACGCCACTCGAATCATCTCAGGTTAGCCGAATTGAACCAGACTCTACAATCGTTATGGATGAATGACAATAGACAAGTGACAAATGACAAGTATTATAAGCATTATGGATGGAATACGATAGTATAACCAGACCCTACAATCATTATCGATGAATGACGACAGTACAACCAAACATTACAAACGTTATAATAAATGAATGAGGATAACACCACCAGGAAAGGCCATGCGTGATCCTGGACTACTTTTGATGTACAAGTCCACGTTTATGAGCTTGAATGATACATAATTCTATTTCGACTCTATGTGTTGGTTTCAGTACAGTCATTTGGATGAGAAATGATGCTTTGATGATGTGTTTAGGTAGACATATTCCTTTATAACTGGCTCTTTTGGAGAGTGGCCACTGAAGCAGCCTCGCCGGAAAATCCGATGAGCGATATATTTACCACCCCAACTATGCATTCACAATTATTTTTATAGCAGTGGTGAATAACTTACCTACCCATTGCTGGAACAATTCTTTACTGGTGATCTTACACCATAGATTGTCTGCAATCATGGTGAAATTTTGACATCTACATTGCCCTCATTAAACCACCACTACCATTTAATGAAGGAAATGTCAGGTAGCGGATTTCAATACAAGGTTCGAGCAGTGAAGGCTATCACTGTCTTACCAGCACACCGCTACCTGAAGACTAGCCAGTGGACATACCCCATTCATATGAATCTGTATGTTTTGGTATTTTCTTCAATGACAATTAAATATTAGATCGTTGTTCCTGTTATCAGGGATACCAAAACATGCAGCGTGTGGTTGCCAATGCCAAGCAAACAGATGTAGCAAATCCATGTCCCTCCCATTTGAATCAGAATAACAAGCACTTCATCAATCAGATGACAGTTTTGTCAACAAATTCTATCGCATACTGATGACGGATTTCCACATTACCCAGGGACACTTCAACATTTATGCATGCCAGGGCTGTCAATTTCCTTCCGTAGGTGTATGGACCACAATGTAACTGTTCACAGGCTTTGCCATTCTGTCAAGAAATTATTTTCATTCTCACACCTAGTTTGACAAACGAGTATGCAGATTTATTGTATATAGCAATGCTAGAATCACCAACACATCTTTCTGCCTAATTTGTTTAAAATCGCCATGGAAAGTCTGGAGTCTGGTGATTTGGGAAACACTATTGGTAATAGAGTAACTCTGAAATTTGTATTTGTTTGTACCTGCCATGAGGCCATCAGTATTCAGTATTATAAATTATAAAAATAACATTTCCATAATATCCAACTAAGGCCCGCCACAAACAACAGATAACAATAATATAGCATAATTGTATAGGTTATTATTTAATAAGAGTAACTCAATGTAGCATTTTCGATCTGATACGATCTGATTGTATCGTTCCATTTAGAAAGAGATTGGGAATTAAGAGATCAGTTGAAGTCTCCAATGAGCATTCATACAGCAAAAACATGTTTTGGAAACATTTTACAATTTATTTATCCTAATAACAAGAAATATATATTTTATAACTCCTTGTGAAATGTTAATTGTCGGTCTTTTAATGTGAGGCAAATTTCTAACATATAATACCTCACCTACCTGTTCCTTTCCTCACTGTGCCATGGTGAGAAATATGTACCGACAGCAGCAAATATATATGATGGAATGAATTGCAAATTTACCTGAGATTAATCAACAATATTAACCCCTGGGTCATCAGTCAATTAGTTTACTATATACCAAACCGTTTATTCTCGATGTATAATACACATTATTACCTGTGATGCTGCCGTATATTTCTATTTCTGAAATCCACAAATCACTGGACCTCCAGGATTTCTGATTTAAACGTACCACGTCACCCCTAAAAGAATAGCACATGAAATAACAATAATAATGCCCTTGATGTGGTAATTTAATATAATAGTACGAAAGATAGATAATATATGAGGTATGCAATAGATACTGAACAGGAATTAATAAATTATAAATACAGTGCGGAAAGGTTGTAAAAATAAAGCTGTATTAATTATATTCAATGTGCATTATGAATTATAATTTATCATTTAATATTGTTATTTGATACTGCATGTTCGTAAATAAAATGGGTTATGGTTAATAATGAACTATATACGTTGTCCTTATAAGCATACATATGAATATTTGTTCGATGAAACAATAAAATTCCTCACTACGTATGAGCATGCGCATGTGCACTGATTATATTGGAAGGAATAATAACAATCACTATATGCTCGTGCACGTGGTAATGTGTTTATTTCCACACCAATGACAATTATATTAGTTTGGAAACATAACAAACATTTTTTTAGTTATGATAAATCAGTAGCATGAACTAGTACAATATTATCAGAACAATGTTTTATCTTTGATTAATTTATCCACCATATTTTAATGAATATATCAGATGTTTTATTCCAAATGCCCATCTCATTTTAGCACAAAATAGTGTGTTCATTGAATTACCCGTGCCACAATACCAATTTACAATATCGAACAAGAAATATTAGAGACTGCATAGATGTTTTGTGAAAATTATACATGAACAGATTTCTTTCAAAGAACATACGCATGTATTCTCACTGATTTTGATGAAAACCCAAACAATCAATCAATGTTTAGCCTGCTACTGACAACACAATATAACCTTCGTTGTCATATGTGTAAAGATGCTGTGTGATGAGCTGTCTCAGCGAGATAGACTGTGCCTCCTTGTTGATATATGAGATTAAGTTTGTTCTCATGACCAGTGGTGAGACAGAAAAAGCAATCTTACATAGCGACGATGTTGAATTCTCGTAAAATCTACTCTTTGTGTATGTATACAGTATTTGTTTATGCGACTAGTAAAAACGAAAAACTTCCACCTTTTGTAAATATGTAAAAGCAATGATGAACTATATCTTAGAGTGAATAGTAATGTTTATCGGTCGTGTTCATTGTCAATCAATTTAAATAATTTATAAATTCCAATACGATGTATTGTCTTTGTTTATTATTGTTAACTATTATGTCATAAACATGAACTATACAACAGTCACCTTATTTCTTCGAAGCACTTGAAAGAATACATTTCGAAAAACCTTTTAGACACAATTAAGTTACACATTGTCATGATTCCCGAGTCACGAATTCCCGCATCTACACTGGCGCCATACATGGACATGCTTTCATCTGTCAAAGAAACAAAGGTTATGTTTATGATATGAACTTAAGTTAATTACAAATTGTGTTTGTTATATTAACTTCACTGCCAATATGAATTACCACTGGAGTACAGTAGCAAAAAGAAGAGTTACTTTTGGGTAAAACGCATTGATTAAGAAGAGCACCAAGATTGCATCAATTAGTGTTCCCATGAACCTTCCAGAAACAAGTGAAGTTAATATTACTGCCAGACGCACGAAACTAATTTAAAAGCATAGTCTAAAAAGCAATATATATAATTTAATATTAGTCAAGAAAATAGTGTGTTACAATTTTCAACTGAAATGACATGTGACATATATATCTGTACAATTTCAAGAAAGAAGAAATAAATTAATATTCATAAGTTGTTCGTTTATTATAGAACATGTAAAGGTCATATTAAAGACACTTGTTAATCTTATTAAACTAATACACATAAGATTATATAGGGTAAAGTAGCTGGAAAACTTTCATTCAGGACTAGAACATATCTGCTGTTGATTCGAATTCCTATCACTGCCGTCACTGTGCTAGCCTGACACGTAAGCGTGAGTGGCGCCCTCGCCGGCTGAACGGCATCAGAGCTCACTAACGCCTGGCAGACTAGTGTATGTCGTGTCGGCAAGATCAATACTGCGAATTCGCAAAGTTCACGACTTCGAGCAATGCATTTCAACGAATATTCATTTGGGTGGCCGTGGTAACACCGTCAACCAGAGACGTGTTTGCATTGTCGGCAAAAATCACAAGACTGTTTTCAACAAGAAGATAAACATTGGGCGGAAATTTGCCAGCACCTCTTATCACACATTATGTCAACAAACAAATAAACTCTGCCATGAATGGTTAATCTCATCGTCCGAATCGCACAGTTTCGCTAAAACCGGCCATTCATAACCGGCTCACGAACCCGTGCGTGATCGTGTTAGGAAAAGCTGTATTTCTCTGCAGCTAAATTGAGTTATTTGATTGGGCGCGCCAGGAGCTGGCCCACCAATCAGAGTTGCTGTATCATAAATGTGAAGATCGAGAAGCTCATCACAGAGTAAAACAATGGCAGTGTGTAGGTTTTGCTGATTCATCTGGAGTCAAGAACAGAAGGTCTATATTCGTTGACACCTTTCCAAAATTCCAACTTTGAAAATTGTTTGTGGGCAAGTGAATGAGGACGATGGAATGTCTAAATATTTGTGCAAACTGTTTTTTAGTAAACTGACAAAACTGTCGAAACTGAAACGTATCGGTCTTCGTTGCGACTGTTTTTGCAACAAACACGTCATTTTTCTCAGATACAGCATTAAGCGCTTTCTTTGATGATCAGTGAGCTCGTTTAAAGAAAAAGCTAGCAACACGTTTATTCCGCCATTTTCGTCTTTTAATATTGTAATTTCCTTTTCTGAGTCAATATCTAAATAAGGATACGATTTATGCAATAATGATTATTATTATTATTATTATTATTATTATTATTATTATCATTACCAAGTAATTCGTAGTTTCTTTCGTGAGTTATGATTGGGTGATGCAAATGAGCCGAAGTGAATCTAATCGTTTGAGAGCGTGCGACATACAGTAAATCGTGATGAAATCTGCCAAGAGAGAGGCTCCGGCCGAATCAATAGTCCTTGGCTGTCGAAGATGGGTTAATCTCTGATGGCTGTCACTATCTGAAGCCTCTGCCATTTGATTGGTACCGAAGTGGAAAATTGAAAAAACTACATCGTTCTGTCAGGCGCGTGTTGGGTTTGGAGCACCGCGGAGGGCGCAACCCACCGAACCTTGGCTATCACTGTGCATGATAAGAATGTACGTTATAAATGAAATACAAAGCATTTATTAGCAATGTGTATCCTCGGGGGCGGACATCCGGGCATTTTCACCGCTTGGCAACCCTCGCGGTGAAAACAAAGGCCGAAAACTCGCAGAAAATGGTATTTAGGGATGGTTGTTGAGACTCCTCCGAACAGTTTTAACAACAAGATTAGCCCCACGTGTGTAACATATATAAATTTGGCTGTTCAGGATTACTTCAAAGTTGAGTTTGTGTTGTTTTCTCGAATTTTCACAGGCTCGACCGGCGTTCCACAGCAGCGCGCACAGAGCCCATATAGAAATGCATGTACAGTGGTGCGCGTCTTAGCAACGTGGAACGTCTTGTGACGTAGCTCCGCCCCCGAGGATACATCTAAAAAAGGGTAATGCACTATTGAATCAATAAAGCTATGATTAGTTATATATCAGCCACAATTCATAGCCTTGCTAAACAACAGTGGTCTAACACTCCCTGTAGCAAGGTACCTAAAGAAGTGTTTTGAAATAAGACAGCAACCCCAGCGACAATTTTCTTTCACAGTTAAGTTCTGCATTTTTCTATCTTTTTATATTATAATAATAATTTTGTCTTAATATTATTTTTTCTGTAATAATTTGTTTAACCTTTTATAATTATTTCTTAAACATTTGTAACCATTGCTAATCCGGGGAAGTGCTAATAAAATTATTATTATTATTAATTATTATTGTCGTATCAAAGAATCTCATTGTGCTGTGAAAAAAGGTGACGTTGCTTATACAGTCGAAATGGAATTATTGGTTGTCAACAGTTGCACTATTATAAACCTTTGAATTACATGAAGAGGATACCGAGCACACTAGTAAGAAAAATTGCACTTTGAGCACGTGACCAGTGAGTAATTGAAAATGCCGACGGCCGCCTCCATGTTAGCAGAAAGTGACAAATTGGGCAAAAATAATTAATAATTCTTACGGTATTTGACAAACACTTTGACTTCATTGATGACGTACATCTCGTTTAAGTAGATTGCAAGCCACATATGACTCTCTTCCGGTTTAGGTGCAATGACAAAACCAGTCACAGCAATGGATCCGTCCAATTCATTGCTTGTTCGAGCAACTGTACCCGCCGCCATATTGGTGTAACTGGTAGCTTCACAACCTGAAATTAACATGTGAATTACAAAGCAATTCCGTGGTAATTGTTATTGTTATGAACACTGGTGGGGGGGGGGGTTCTGAATAAAATATGGCACGCTAGCCCACGGAGGTAAAAAGAGACAATTTTTTTACCTCCATGGCTAGCCGAAGTAAAAAAACGCATAAAAGGGTGTTATTTAGTTATTTGGCGTGTACTGTGTTGAGGCATATAAAGTGTGCAAAAAGGAATCTTAGAATTTATGTTACCTCAACATGGAAACAGTATGATTTTAGTATGTATATAGGGTATCTATTTTATGTTTCTGCACTTGAAAGGGAGTATAATTTCACAAACATAAGTACGTGTTTAGAGGCTTTTTCGAAAAGCTATACTACAGCATGGGTACCAGGTCTCTGACTTGGAGTCCCCCCCCCCACGGGACACAGGTGTTGTGTTTGGGGAACTTGACTCATTTAACTGATAACACTTACACGTAGGGATACTAGATTCGGCCGAAATGAATACACATTAGTGCATTACAATACAGTCCAGCTTTATTCTTCCAAATAATCAGCTGAGGTAACCCCTTGTTCTTCTCTCCCTCTCTTACAAGAGGTTACAAACTCCCTATATTAAATGTCAATTATCTAAGGCGTGGTAGAGTAAACATGTGATCAGCCAATCGCTGCAGTCGTCTCACAGTTAAAGCCTTGCAAAGTTGCCACTACTAAATACAATAAGTAAACAATCTATATATATAATTCCTGAAATATATGTTTATAATCTCTATCCTAAACATGCAAAAATTTAAACCACTACTGTGCAGATTGTAAACTATTAGTATTACTGTGAATTGCACAGACCTAATGTTTTTTATGCTGTAAGTCAAGATGTATGTATTTTGAGTAGACAAGGAGGTGTTTACTCCATAACTAAACAAGATGGCCTTTGGTGGCGTGTGCGCCACAGACTTAAACAACAGCTGGTTGATTCATCTACACAAACGTGAAATAATTCAGGAGCGGAATAATCAACAAATCGCCTGATTCGTCAATATCCCCCATTAATAAGTAATTCTCATCTCTGTCTGTTGTGTTCGTAATATCATATATTATGCTTAAAAAACAAATAACTAGAGTTGTTGTATCCTGCTGTATCGCCAACTAACAGCATACAAACAAAACTGAGATAGCTTTGTAATCGATATGAACAGCCATAATGCTACAGGCGTGGTAAACCAAATATATAACTAAAATGAACTCCAACTACAGGGCTGGTTTAAATAAAGATTATCTTTTTCAAGATCGTACTTAATAATAATAATAATGCCACGGTCAACCAACCAATCACATCAAAGACAATTATGAATAATTATAAAACCATGTATTGAAACGTCACGTCTTCATCGGTTGATGAGCGCCACTTGCAGCCTTGTCAGACGATACAACAAATAACAATTACTATTTGAGTTTATGAAATTCGAACGAGAACAGTTTAGTTGTCATCTTTGTTTTTGTAATGGTGAATGTATTTCTTCATATCACGAAATTCAGCTTTAGGTTGGTTGTTTCTCAAATTTTTCAAGTTGAAAATAGTGAATTTTCATTTTGCTCAACATATAATCTAAAGATCTATATTATCTTCTCGAATCATTTGTTTTTCCGTGTCCACGTGTTATTTTGTTTACGTCATCAACTTGTAGCCTCGTTCACAGATGGTTCACAATGCGCACGGTCGGAGGTCAAGATTTTTTGTTTTACACTGAAACCTACAGACTTCTAATCAGATGATACTCACGTTTTCTTTGTGGAAATATTTCAACTTCACACAGCGTTAATGATGAGGATTTTCTTTCTTCGAGTATAATAAAGACATATCGTCCTAAAATGCCAGGGAAACAATCAAACAGATGTTTGGCCATACCAGCGGAATTACTCAAAGGAACATCGCATATCAAATAATCAACGTTGTCGCTAACGAATGCCATGGCTCCACTCAACTCATCCGCTAGAAGAAACATAGTTTGTTTTAAAAAACATAATATAAAAAGTGAACGTTGAGTAGGTTTGGGTAAATTTGAATATTTTGTATTTGATTGTAATAAATGTGTGCCAATTATTTTAAAATAAAGAACAAAAAAGTGTTTGTTTAGTTGAATAAACAGATAAACTATTGAATGCTAATAGACTATTAAATACTGGTAATAACATTTATAGTATTATGTGAACAATATGGCCACACACGGAGATAAATCATCAAAAACAATTACACTATATGGAATGTATAATATCGTTTTCTCAGTATTACGACATGCACCTTTAACCATCAATCCGAGGGCGCCAACGCCCAAAAGGTTTTCCCCGTTTTAACCACGTATTTCTCCTGTACGTTATTCAACATGGCTGTAGTGAGAAGTATTGTAAACATTTACATTTGCACACATGTAAGTATTTGATTATTTGATCAAACTTACAGTGGTTATTTTCAGCAAATATTCGTACGTTCAACTTTTACCGTATTGCCCAAAAGTGATATGTATGTTAATTTTATGTTTAATGAGAAGGAGTTTTACAAATAGAACATATACGATATTGATAAATGAATTTTTGTAAGCAATCAGTTAACGACTAAAAAAGATTGTATTTACATATTAATTAGAAACATATTTGTAGTACCAAATACTAGTAAATTAGAAAGTAATTAAAATTTATGAAGTTTTAATATAGAATTTTGATGTCATTTAAATTTAAAGTGTTCAAATTGATGCATAGTTTTGTCAAAATTATACCATTACACTACTCAGGAAGATTGATATTCGAACTATGTGTTGTTGTTTCGTCTTTTTTTAAACTTTATTTATCATGGTTGGCTTTCCATTTGGCTGACAGGTTTGACATGCCGAACTAGGTATGGTCGGTATCCGATTAATGCTGGTTTTCACACACTACTATTCTTGTAATCTAAATAGACATATTCGAATCAATATTTCCGGATATACATATGTCACTTTCGCCAAAATTACCCTGATTTTATTAATAAGAAACATCCTGCCCAATAGAAACTCGCAAGTTAATTTGCATTATGGTCAAGGTAATAACGTTCTAATGAACGCATGTTGAATTAATTGATCATAGAGGTAAAAATGTATCCATGTTGTTTTCATGACAAATATTTTCAAAATTATATACATACATGTAGTCATAAAATGTTCATAATTTATTAATTAATAATGTTAATTGTGATATTCAATATCTAATATATGTGAATTATACTACATCATACTAAATGTAACTTTCGTTGAGGGTTAGGATTATCCAATAAAACAGCCTATTGGTTTATGGACGACATATATTAAAATTAGTTTTCAATCTATATAGGACATTTAATAAGTATAAATTAAAATAGAAAATGTGAGAAATCAAATCGCTAACAAATTGTTCTGTGACGGCTTTATAAACTACACCAGGGTAAATGGGACAAATAGTCTGGATGCTTAACAAAGGTCTGGTAAGATAAAGTGTGAAATTCATTGGAAAGATGGTACTAATATGTTTAATGAATGTTTACCACAGTAAGACTTGAATCAAACTTCATACACATGGGAAGGCCTTAAACTAAAGTCTTATAAACTGCAAACAAAATGTGAGGGAAGACGTTTTTGCGAACTGTTGGAACATATTTTCAAGTGTTGATTTCATTTTTAACCAAATACAGGGGGCGTCAACCAACAAGTATAGCATACAAATTGAGAATCAATATATATTCTTACAGCAGCAGTCCAGTCGGTTAGTAACAACTATTCTGCTGATGAGATAAGTATCTTCTAAATCAACTTTCCACCATGGGGAGCTTTCTACCTGGGTTGCTGAGCATGTTGGTGGTTCAGTCCAGTTCGTCGTTTTCCATCCATCTACTGCACGCATTGCTGTGGCGTTTCCTCTGGTGGAGCTCTGCCATGCAGGTTTACCAACAGCAATGTTTTCATATTTGTAATCAAAACAGTCTACGGGGAAAAAAGATTGTTTGTTTGTACAATTGTTTCATGTGTATGAAACTATATTGCACACACAAAAAAACGACCCTAAAATGTAAGGTCTGGGATGGTCGAAAATTCTCTTTAAAAGTGAAATAGAAAAAAAAATAACGTTAAACAATACTTTTAGGGATCTATGTAAAAATACATAAACACGGTGGACCTCTGTAAAATAAAGGATACAATGAGACCTGGTCTTCCGAAAAGCACAATTAAATAGCATTAATATATTACACTTCATTTTGCCCACGTCTGTTGCATACATACATTTAGCGATTTATTTATATTCATTTTAAACAAACTAGATGTTATCAATGTTATTTATTTATTTTTTCCCAGTAATCTAAATGAATTTCTTTCAATTTGTTACATACGCTTGTTCCAATTTCTTGCCTGATTTAAAAGCTCCAAAAAAATTGAGTTTGATAATCACACTGTTGATAACCGATGGCAGTATTTCATAATAATAGCGCAAATACGAAATTATGAGTTACAATTCCAACTCTCCCCTGCGCGGTATATTTGTAACATTTTCTGTGAACATTTTAGCTGTACAAACATTGTCCTATCATATATTGGCTTCATCTTTCGATGTGAATTTCTTTTTTTTTCTTTGAATTCAGAATAAATCTAACCAAATGTCTGTCCCGTGAAAAGTAACCCGCTTAAAAAGTGAATCGAATAATTTTGATTCTAGTTTTACCAAGAAACAAATCACTTTGAGTTTTTATTTGTAAACACTACTTATAAATTTTCCATTGTTGAATGACGCAGTGTTATAAAAGTACGGCTCAAGTGTATTATTTCATCTCATATTTTGGCATTTGGTGGCGCACTTTAACTTCGGCGAGAATCGGAAATCCGGAAACAGTCGACCGTTTCAGGGTAGGTGGGCGTAGCTACAGCACGAGAAATATTACTTCGATACGAGTTCTAAAATTGGAAACGTGGGCATTTCACAGTCACTTTAAAGATTATTCCTAAATACTTGTAATTGTCAACTAGTTCAATAATCGCTTTTGAGATTTTGTGATATTAAATTGAAAATAAAATTCTGAAGGCTTTCACAACCTGTTATTACCATAAGTAAATTATCTGCAAACACATTACAGTTCAATTATTGTCCGTAAATATTAACAGGGTCAAAATTGTTGGCACTGTCCGTGTTGTGAACTAAGATAATGATAACTATATAACCCCCTGAATAGAGAAATAAGAATACTTCAGCTCCACTTTCAGATTTAATGCTATTTAGTGCTGCTGTACAATAATTTAAATATAATAAAATTCCCCCTA